TAAAAAAAAAGAATTATCTATGGGCTGTCTAAAAAACTGGGCGCGCCAATGAATTCCCCATTTGACCCAATAGATCAAAAGGATAACAGACAATCCAAATGTAGGTTTTCTCTAGAATTCCACTTTAAACTAAAATTTACCAACTGCATAATTTTTAAAAGCAAAAAAGTATAACTCCTCCCAATCTGTAGATTAAGTCTGATGCAGCATGCTGAGGAAAATTAATCTATTTTGCCCATTTAACAGCTAACACTGGCTGTCACCATCAGGAACCAGAGAGATAAATCAATAGGTCTGCTATGATAAAGATAACATTCAGTATGGAGGTTTAATAAACAAAAAAAAAAAAAAAAAAAGCTTTCAATCTGGAATACTTCTGTGGCAGATGGCAGTGTTCCTGTTTCATACTGTAATTTTAATATACAATTACAGTATTAATGTATTTCCATCCCATTAGGATTAGAGGTCTTTATTGAAGTAGTGCACTAAAAAAGCTTTATATAGCCTTAAAAGAAAATGTAAAATTTTGATAAGCAACTGTTCATTGAGTTAGCATACAGACACTGTTAAAACTGGCCTATAAATCTAGATCTCAATGAGCTCTGGCTGAAAGGGTTGAGTACTTTAAATGCTTAGGAACCACAGCAATATTTCTAATGCAAATGTTAACCGACAAAACACTACACCAAATATTGTGTCTGCAGTGCAGTCAAAACTTCTAAAAAAAAAAAACCCCAAAAGAACACAATGTGGATCTCAGCGGCACAACAAGTTCGCTACTGCAAGCAATTTAGGAGCCTGGGAGTAAGTTCCTTGCAGCTTTCTTCTTTCCAAATGAATTTATTAAAATAGATATCAAATTCTAGATTAAAGCATGTTTCATTGTCTGCCTGTGTTATAACTTTGATCTGTTAGAGCAAATTGTGAAATCTTTGTCTCATACACCTGCAAATATACTGTATGATAGCAATACAATCATTAGTTTTTTTAATTATATGATTACAGCATGCTCACATCAATTGGCATGAGATGGGATGAATGTGATCCAAGTATATAATATTATACATTGATGGGAGTGTCATTTCATAGATCTCCTCAGCAATGTAATAGGGGAAAAAAATTATGTGACTGAAGCTGAATTTTCTTCAAGTTGCTAATTTGCTAGAACATAAACCTCCACCTTCCTTGTTTGCAGTCTCTCTTTCTTTTAGCCAACTTGTTTCTGAAATAGGTTTAAGTATACCTTCTGCAATGCAGTGTTGTTCATAAAACTTCTCTTCTTTATGATCAGCTGGAGAATCAGGTCACAAAACTAATCAAAGCAGTAGTAGTAGTTTTCTAAGTAAAAGTATATTTAATGTCAAAAATTCTACTTCCCATTTTGGATGGAATAAGAATAGTTAAAACCCTGTTAATGTTTGGCTTTACATAGACTATAAAGCTGAAATCAAGGCACAAAATCCTTAAATACAGCCACAAAGGTTATAATTCTACTTTGTGTGCACCAAATGCCTTTGAAGCCCTAGTTATTAACTTGTAAAAGCAGCAGTGACATCATCACTTTGCTGCACATAGCCTGTGCAGAGAACGGAGCTGTGGGAGGGATCCGACAGCTCCATCCACTACGACTGGTGACAGCAGCCAGCAGGGTACTGTACATATCTTCATGAACACATCACAGCATGCTGTGTCAATACTTCTCTCAAGAGCCATCAATCCTGATGCAAGCAGTTAGCCCACTTGTGGAAAGTTTTATGCACTTTAAAAATGCCTCAATTGGTGGATGTCATTAGGCTTTCCTAAGCAAGCTACATGGTCTTGAAGGAGCTCTGCTCATGCTCCGAAACATGTCACCACTCCATGCTCACGTCACTTTCGGTCCGTGGACAGCGCGTGTGTTCCAGCGGTCCGAACAGAGCGGCGGCCATCTTTAACACCTCTCTTCAAGCTCCCCCTGCAGCTGCTGGCTGGCACAGCAGCTCCATCGCTCAGAGGACAGAGCCATGCTACTGACGGATTACATTAGAACCTGTTTGTACTACTACATTGTAAGTGTTTTTAACTGCTTTTTATTAAAGTTGACCAAGAATACTGCATTTAGAAGCGTCTTCCTGCTTCACCTTCTTCTGCACAGTTTGTCTCCACTCTAGAAGTGCTGCTCAGTACTGGTTTCCCTACACACCCTCCATCATCAGCTGCCATACTTCCACAGCATCGTCCACCGTCGTGCCCTACTACCTACCTTATATTTATATGCAGACTACCATCGGTAACAACCACATGTGAGGTGGAGTCTCCATGACTGAAATAACTGAAGCCCAACAAATGAAGGGGAAAGAGAAGGTACAAAGGCTAGATGGCACTGGGCATCTTCCAGACAGGAAATGAGGTCAGATCTGATTTATTGCAGTTTCTAATGCACACTATGAGAGGCTCACATTGTGCAGTGAAATCAGAGAAAGCGATACCTGTGCAAGTCTGAAGATAAGGTTAGAGTTCACCTATAAACTTTTAAAACTGCTAACCTGCAATAAGTTGCATATATTTAAACCAAAGTAGCAAACCTTTAAAAAGCTTCTATTCTGATGTAATTACTAAGTTGTACTCTTTGCACCACTAATTCTCTATTAGGAAGAACTGAATATTCAGAAATGGAACCCATTTTATTCAGCTTGAATAGAACATGGCTATAAAATGGTGCAGCAGTGTGGATGGCTAAAGCCTTGGGCTGAGGTGCTTTGGTCCCAGAGAAATCAAACAAACGTGTAAAACTCTGAAAATGTGGTACGCAGCACCTAGTACACACCTAACTCATGTAAAAGTGGAGCATACTTTAGTGTTTAGCCATACAGGGAGGAAGGGGGTGGGCATTCGAGGGAGCCATCAAGAGGAACAAGGGCTGCTTTCATTACAGCCGACAGATGCTGCAGCTTACGTTTATGTGAAGTGACACTGAAAGTCACATATGAAACAAGGAAGAGGCTTCTCTCAGAGATTGCCTAAATTGTACCATGTGGCTCCATTTTAATCTTCTACATCAAAGCTTCACTCAGGTATTTGTGTACGAAAGCTTAAAGCGCATCTAAACCCAAGAACATACTGCAGCATACCAATCCCTAGATGTGATGGCTGCACTGGTTTTCTTTACTGCAGGTTTTTCTCATTACTTCTCTTTTCACCTGGTGATCCCGCAAGTAACACCGTTCCTTTCCTAGTATGATATTAATCATGTTACTCACAGGTACTGAATCTATCAAGTATGGAGAGCATGGTCAATCTTGGACAGAACATCTCCACGGCTTCTCCAGAGCGTGGGAAGTGGGTGTGTGTTCTGCTGTGCATAAGAAAGCGTCACAGTGTTCATGATTTTTCTCTTTATTGAAGGTTACCAAACACACATTGTGAGAAGCTTTTGTGCTCCAACACGATGCGTTTCATAGAACTGCAGCATGCATGCATGGTGTGAACAGGGCAGATTAACGCACCTTAATGAACATGGAGTGAAACAGCACTAAAGGTAAACCTGACCTGGTATAGAAAATGGGTAACAACAGTGCTAAACTGCAGGTAAAGTTCCTACAAGTATGTGTTAGTATTCCAATGAATCACTGTTTCCCTGGAATCCTGGAATCTAGGGCCCGGGCTGTAAAGAAGGCTTTGTCTTCTCTGCATGACAAAACTAAAGCTGTACATACAAGTTGAACAGCAAGCATGGAGGAATCTCCTTTGACTACTATTGTATGCAGACAGCCAACACCTGTGGCTTACAGAATACCCATACAGTGGCTGCGGCTGAATGGATGCAGTCACTGTACGGCTGACAATTTTCTGCCCACCTCCTTTGAAGTTCAGATCACAGGACATTGGATGGGAAGGTGCTGACAGGGACGCCCAGGGCTCCAATTTTGGCTGGTTCACCAGAAAGGCACCTCAACACTGTGGCCTTAAGCTGGGTATACATGTTCAGTTTTTGTTTTGTTTTAACTGACAGATCCCTGCATTAACAGGGATCTCTTCCACCTGTGCTATTGTATTCTGACAGGTACACAAGTACCATGCTATAGACACTTTTTTAGTCCAGGTCATAATTACATTAAGATCGTGTAAAGTTTTGTTTTAAAGTGATACTAACGTCTTGTTTTTTGTTTTTTTGTTTTTTTTTCTTAAGACTAAAACATTTATTTATTTCAGGTACTTATATAGCGCTGTCAATTTATGCAGCGATTTTACATTTATATTTTGTACATTCACATCAGTCCCTGACCCTCAAGGGGCGTACAATCTATGGTCCCTAAGTTACATTCATACATACACATACTAGGGCCAATTTAGACATGAGCCAATTAACCTACCAGCGTGTCTTTGGAGTGTGGGAGGAAACCAGAGTATCCAGATAAAGCCCACGCAGGGACAGGGAGAACATGCAAACTCCAGGCAGGTGGTGCTTAGAACCAACGACCCTAGTACTGCCAGGCGGAAGTGCTAGCCATTTAGTCACTGTGTTGCCCATAAACATATCCATACTTATCTGCCCTGTGCAGTAGCTTTGTACAGAGCAGTCTGGATCCTCCTCTTCTTGGGTCCCCCATTGGTGCTCCAGCTCCAGGCTCCTCCCTCCTGTCGGGTGCCCCCATAGCAAACAGCTTGATATGGGGGACCCGAGCCACGGCTATGCGCATCCATTCACACACAGCCATGGTTCAGCCCCACCCCCTCCCTCTCCTGAATGGCTCACTGGCTGTGACTGACATTGACTCCCACTGCTGCCTCAGTCAATCAGGTGCGAGAGTCCTCGGAGACCCAAGACTCTCATGGACATCGCTGGATCAAGAGGGTGCTCAGGTAAGTATTATGGGGTCTGCTACACACAGAAGGTTTTTTACCTTCATGCATAGAATGCACGAAGGATAAAAACCTTGAGACTTTAGAACCACTTTAATAACGTCTTTAAATAATTTCAAATTAAAAAAAAAAAAAGAAAAAAAAAAAAAAAAGCTTACCTTATACAGCCAGTAATAACTTGAACAAGAGGATAGATGAGAGGCTCCAGAACCTCACTGGGGTGAATTGTGCTCAACACTCGACACCAGAGATACAAGCAGTGAATGTACTGCCAATTATACACTGACTGATGAGCCCCCTTAAATAGGAAAAAAAAAAAAAAAAAAGAAAGATCTTAAAATGCACCAGGCAAAGCATCTCTCAAAACACTGTATAGCACACGCACTTCACACCAAAGAACAAAATGCCATCAATACAGAACACTAGTCCTTCAAATTTTGTGGTTGCATTATTGTTTTTTTTCAGGCTTTTTTTTTCATTTTAAGCTGCCAATCCAGCCACTAATACACTTCATGTCCTTGGAGTGACAACATCCAATCATTATACTGTGTCCATGGAGGAGCATTGTCACCATAGGAAAGGAGGTGTTAGGACTACAGAACAACTCCCATAGCATTCAGCATAGGCAGAAAGCACAGGACAGTCCTGGATCTCTGGCAGGATCAACTGGTATTTTTTTATAAAAAAATGTTAGTATTCAATATAGTGCAGCCATTACGGTATATATTGCACATGTTGTACAGCAGGTGGGAATAAATCGGGCTGCATAGTATATAATCCTAGAACACTTTAGAAAAACAACCGATTTACCACAGAATAGGCATCTTTACAATCAAGTAAAAGCTGTACTGTGATATTGCATGTTATAAGGAAGAATTTATTTTTGTTGTTCATGAGAATCAAGTAAACCAAGTAAAGAGAAATTTAATGAGAAGTAAATAAGATGAAGAGACAAAAAGGAACATAAAAGAGGAAGAAAAGAAAATCTCACGGTAGAAATCAAGGTAAGCATGTTGGGGTTTGTTTCAGTCCACAAGTGTGGCAACAAAAGAGACCCTTTAATGCCACATCACAGATAGCAAGTTGTACAGATAAACAAGCCATAAAAAATCAAACAAACATAGGCTCCAGACACTCAAGTCAAGTAATACATAAATGTAAAGCCACGTACCGTATATACTCGAGTAAGAGCAGAGTTTTTCAGCACATTTTTTGTGCTGAAAAACGGCCCCCTCGGCTTATACTTGAGTCAACGTCTGCCAGGGGGGGCGCGAGTCTCCGTCAAGGGGGGCACGTACAGGGGTGGGCAGAGGGCTGCTGTCTCTTACCTGGGTCCCACGATGATCCATCCAGGAAGCGCTGCTCCTTCCGTCACTCTGGCCACTCCCTCACTCCTGCCGCTCGGCTCCGCCTCCTCACCGGTGATTGGCCGCCAGAACTGTAGCTCAGGAAAGGTACACAGGCGAGGAGGGCGGAGCCGAGCGGACCCGCGAAAATCGAGTGAGGGAGAAGCCGGTAAGTGTGCAGTGCAGAGGTGCTGCTGCAACCACATATGCTGGCTGCAGCAGCACCATACTGCAACAGGAGTCAGCAAGTGTCATTGGTGTCAGTGGGAGGAATAGTGCCGCATCATTGGTGTCACTGATACTAATGATGGGGCATTATTCCTCCCACTGACACCAACGATGGGGCACTATTCCTCCCACTGACACCAATGATGGGGCATTATTCCTCCCACTGACACCAATGATGGGGCACTATTCCTCCCAGTGATACCAATGATGGGGCACTATTCCTCCCACTGACATCAATGATGGGGCACTATTACTCCCACTGACACCAATGATGGGGCACTATTCCTCCCACTGACACCAACGATGGGGCACTATTCCTCCCACTGATACCAATGATGGGGCACTATTCCTCCCACTGACACCAATGATGGGGCACTATTCCTCCCAGTGATACCAATGATGGGGCACTATTCCTCCCACTGACACCAATGATGGGGCACTATTACTCCCACTGACACCAATGATGGGGCACTATTCCTCCCACTGACACCAATGATGGGGCACTATTCCTCCCACTGATACCAATGATGGGGCACTATTCCTCCCACTGACACCAATGATGGGGCACTATTCCTCCCACTGATACCAATGATGGGGCACTATTCCTCCCACTGACACCAATGATGGGGCACTATTCCTCCCACTGATACTAATGATGGGGCACTATTCCTCCCACTGATACTAATGATGGGGCACTATTCCTCCCACTTTATTTTTTACATTGACTAGTAGGTGCCTCATTTCCCACCCTCGGCTTATACTCGAGTCAATAGTTTTTCCCAGTTTTTTGTGGTAAAATTAGGTACCTCGGCTTATACTCGAGTATATACGGTAACTATAAAATTAAGTCTGGTTGATGATTCTGGATTGTTGAAGCACAGCGTGCATATTGTACTTGGAGGAACCAAACCGCCATATTTTTTTTTTTGTGCTCAAACAGATAGAACAAAACATTTTCTCACAGCTGCCAATACAGTCCAAAAAGGAGCAAATAAGAGAAGTTTCTTTGCAACCCATTCATTTCAATGTGCTGCAACAATGTGCTTTCCAACAAGAAAAACAATGTCACATGTAGTGCACCCTCTATAAACTAAAAGGAACTTTTAAAGTGTAAATAATAAAATAATAAATTTGAGATATATATATATTTAAATAAAGGTAGAGTGTTTTTGAAGAAGACACTGGGCTCAGTTTCCAAAACCTTTAGCAAAAAGATATGGATTAAAAGATATGGCTTATTTTTACTTTTTACCCTTGTGTCCAAGTTTCAGATCTTACTGAACCCAAAATTAAAAACTGCTTAGCTGTCACTTTTTTATGTTTATTTTAATGTTATTATCCTAGTGCTATAGCTTTGTGAACTGAGCCTTTTGCACACTAAAAAGCTACTTTAGCTCTCCGCTATCAATGCAGTGATGTGCAGAGAAAATTTAACTCCAGTATGCAAGTGCAGGATTTACGCTATGAGCGGCGGTGGCAGGGAGTGTGGGCCTTGCATCACTGAAAAAGGGTAAACATGAAAACAAGTCTGCTATACTTATGTGCTAATGAGCACCCCCACCCCTCCCTCCTCACTAAAATTCTGCTTTGAAGTGGTTCTGTCATGGGAAATGTATAGGGGTGCCTTTGCAGGCCTCCTTCAAAGTTGCTAGCCGAGTATGAATTCAGAATGTTTTAGTCAAAGTCCCACAACAAGCCTACTGTAGATGACTGTCAGGAATGTGCCAGCACTTCTTATTTCAATACTTGTTGTTGGTCAGCGATTTAGACAGCACTGAAGTCATAGCTTCAGAATGGCGGTACCCTTCATTCATTCCAAACCACTTGTCTACTGATGGCGTTTATAAACCCCCCTTGCTGTTTCGGTGACATCTACATCACTTCCAGGTACAGAGGTGTCATTCCTCAGGTGCTGTGGCTGGGGATGAAGCTGATACGTGCTTGACCAGCTTCATTGTGTAGTATATTTTATATCAATAAAGTTAAAACAGAACTCCACTCTTTTGTGGGGAAAAAATAAAGAAATAAAAAGTCAGAAGCCATAAAACCTGTAGCTGGTGACTTTAAAAAAAAAAAAAAAAAAACCACAACAGCCACTCACCTGTCCCTTGATCCAGCGGTGTGCTCACTGGCAGTCCTCTGTCCCCAGCATCTTAACTGTGGGCACCCATCTGTAATAAGAAAAAGAGAGGAAGATGCCTTCCTCTCTTTTTCTTGTTACTGCATTATAGCCTTGCTTCCACTCTAAGAAGAGCTGCCTCAGTGTTACTGCTCCCCCATCCATCCATCCCTGATATCCATCTGGCACCTTTATCTTACAGCTACAGAGGTTGGGCTCCAACAAGCATGCCCTATAGAATATACCCATCTGTAATAGCTTTCCTACTGCGGCTGCTTGAACAGCACTGCTGCGCATTGTGAATGGTCTCAGTCTTCTGGGACCTGTCATGTGTTCCAGAAGGCTACGGGGAGGGAGGGGGGGGGGGGGGGGACTTTTGTTTCCAAATCACCTATGTGGTCAGAGCGGAAGCGAGTACCTTTCAAAATTGGCTACCCACTTCGCCATCCCCCTCGCTCCCTAAAAGTGCCAATTATTCACAGGGAGTGAGGAACAAGTCCATATAGTGGAACTTCCAGTTTTAAGTGTATATAAAAAAAAGTAAGTTAATTAAAAAAAAACAAAAAAAAAATTAAGCCCCATTATACATATGAACAGAAACAAATGCATCAATGCGCCTACACATGATAGCAACGACTGCACCACACATATTGGGTATTGCCGTAAACATTGGCACAAGAGCATTTCTGGGGCCATCACTCACAGTAACTAAACTAATAACTTTTAATAAGGCTCGTAAGGCACCACTTATGAACAATTTTGAGTACAGACGTTTCTCATCATACCACAAGCATGCATAATTTTAAAGCTCAACACATTTGGTATTTATTCAAATGTAACTACATAATTTATATTTTACCAAAAAAAGATATTATTGTGTTTGTGTGCACTAAAATGAGCTTAACTATTATTTTTTGTGAAAATATGATTTGATGAACAGTTGCACTAATATCTTGCGACATAAAAACAAAAACAAAAAAAAAAAACCTACCAACATTTTATTCTCCAGAGTCTCTGATTTCAAAAATTATATAAAAGGTTTTTTGTTATTTTGGGGGGAGGGTTAAGTAATTCTTCAGCCTTGAATGTATGTTTGAACATGTGTGCAAAATATAAAAGGGAAAAAAAACAGCTCTGATAGAAAATTAAAGTGGAACTAGAGTTAAAATACCAAGCAGGCAGCTTTCTATTACAAAAGAGACATGTTATGTCTCTTCTGCAGTAAAACAAAGTTACCTGCCAGTTCTCAAACTTCTGTTGAATGTACACCGAGTTGTGCATGCACAGTTCAGCATATATTTTCAGCACACTGCCAGTGTGGCAGGATGAGTGACGCATATGCATGCGCAGAAGTCATGTCATCCTCCCCAGCTCATGAGGCCAACACCCAGTATACAGAAGAACCCCGGTGAAAAGATGTCAGCTGTAGGCACTGGATCTTAAGGTCAAATCACTGCAAAGGAGGTTGAGTATTCAGCAGACTATAGTTCCACTTTTATGACTTCTGCTTTAATGTCTCTAAGTCAGAAATACAGAATCTGACATGTTGATGTGCTTGTAAAGGTGCAAGGTTTGATTCGGTCATCCCTTGTAAAAATGCAATGT